CTCTCTCTCACTCTCTCGCTCTCTCTCTCTCTCACTCCCTCGCGCTCGCTCTCTCTCTCTCTTACTCTCTCGCGCTCTCTCTCACTCTCTCTTACTCTCTCGTGCTCTCTCTCGCTCTCGCTCTCTCTCTCGCTCGCACACACACACACGATGCGCAAAACGGCATTTGAACAGTCAATAGCAAATACTTAAACTAATAACAAAACAGTAGCTGATTCAGAAGCGCCAGATTGTCATAGCAAAGTCAGAATTACCTCCTCTCCTAGGTTCACGAAACGGTCGTCCATAAAATGCATTGCTGTTCTGTTGTAAGTAATCTTAATGCAGTACACAAGCCACGGTTAAGACAGCTGACTCCACTGTGATGTGACCCCTCTCTCTCGCACTCTCTCTCTCACTCTCTCGCTCTCTCTCTCTCTTACTCTCTCGCGCTCTCTCTCACTCTCTCTTACTCTCTCGCGCTCTCTCTCACTCTCTCTTACTCTCTCGCGCTCTCTCTCGCTCTCTCTCTCGCTCGCACACACACACGATGCGCAAAACTCGGCATTTGAACAGTCAATAGCAAATACTTTAACTAATAACAAAACAGTAGCTGATTCAGAAGCGCCAGATTGTCATAGCAAAGTCAGAATTACCTCCTCTCTTAGGTTCACGAAACGGTCGTCCATAAAATGCATTGCTGTTCTGTTGTAAGTGATCTTAAAGATTTCTAAATGCATCTACTTTCGGAAGGCCAAATAAAGTGCTTTTGCTTTCACCTAGAAACACACAGCATCTCCCTGACATGGCTACTTCAACTCTAGGTAGACATGTGGGGGCGTGTTAGAACGAGCCGTTTTAGGGGGGCGTGGCAGAGTCTTAACTTTGATAAAGAATATCTCTTTGGTTTTGAGACTTTAGTCTTTGCAACTTTAGGGATCTTATCTATGCACAATCAGCTTGTAACACTCCAAAGTGTTGAAAAAAAACTTGAAATCGCATCATATGACCCCTTTAAATATGAAAATGTACTTACAGTCTGTGAGTCAGAACAGCCGGCATTGTAGTCATATTCTCCCAGGATCAGGAAACAGTCCTCCATAAAATGCGCTGCACACATCTGAATATTTGGGTTGAACTGTTCTGGAACAGTGTTGTAAATACAACTTAACCTCTGATTTCTAGTTGTGTCCTCTTTTGGAAGGCCAAACAAAGTAGTTTCTGTTACTGAACTGTTGCGCGTTCTACAGGCTCACTCAACAGCGTTTCAGACTGCTTCAAAGTGATTCTCAGTCAATGAATAGCGCACAATTATGCCAAGCGATTGCTTATGAACTCGAGTTGATGAATTATGACAATGTCTACTTTATGACCTTTATATAATATGTTTTAGACGGTTGTAAGAATGCATATTTTCTCTCTCATCTGAAGGATCAGTCCGCAATAGTATATACATTTCAAAATAAGAGTCCTGGTGTATTTCGGGCTTGTTTATAATTAAAAGTCACACGTTAAGTTTTTTTTTCTCTCTTTTTTTTGTTTTCCTGGCCATTATTGGTATTTTGGTTACACAATTAATTGTATTTCATTTCCATTTAATTCATAGTAAACTATTGTAGTTTCTGGCTGGGATGCTTCCCCACAGGAAGAAAAGACTAAGAACATTATTTTGACATATTATTCAATATATAGATTTTACTAGTATCAGTAAAATCTGTGTCCCATTCACTGAAAGAGACACTATATGACAAAGGAGAACTCTACCATTTAAATGCTGTAATTTTGCATAATTTACAATGCATATAATAATGCATAATATTAGTATGTAATTAAAATGAATTTCAATAAATTAAAATATAGTTAAAAATCACACATTACTTGTTATTTGTCACATGTAGTAGACCATTTTTGTGCCGTGGGTAATAGGAGGATTTTCCACCCGGCTACTACTGCAAGTATATTTCAAACCTGTGGGAAGCACTGCATAATGATGATAAAAAAACTGTAGATGAGGGTTATTTCATTCAAAAGTAAAAAACAAAACAAAAAAACCCCTGCCACTTCTTTTCATGCCCTAACTATTGTAAAACAGGAAGTGAGTTTTTATGTACATTTGAAAGCTGTGTTTTTGAGTTAAGTATATTTCAAACCTGTGGGAAGCACTGCATAATGATGATAAAAAAACTGTAGATGAGGGTTATTTCATTCAAAAGTAAAAAAACAAAACAAAAAAAACCCCTGCCACTTCTTTTCATGCCCTAACTATTGTAAAACAGGAAGTGAGTTTTTATGTACATTTGAAAGCTGTGTTTTTGAGTTCTAATATTGTTTTGTGTGTTTGGCTATTTTGTAGAATATGTTAGGGAAATGTTATACTACAGGAAATACAGCATACATTTTTTAATAATTAGTAATTTTCTGCCAGGACATTATCTGTTAAGTTTGAGGATATTTCCTTTAACCCTGAAGTGTAACAATGCAAAATTATATTTCAATGCAAAAAACTCAGAATACAGAAAATTCCTTCAGACCCTATTTTTAAGGGTTTAAGGTAAAAGGAGTAAATGTCTCCCTAGTAAATCAGTTTTGCATCTCATGTTTTTCTTGCTTTTTCTCTTACACACAAAGTAAAACACCCAAACCTCATTTATTTTAATTCTAAACTATGATATTTTATATGGACTTTCTGAGGCAATGTAATAAAAATACTGTATAATAGTAAATCCTTGGCCTGAGGAACATGGGTTGAGTTGTGTACAGTTTTTGTTTTTCTCTTCATATTTTCACACACAGGAACATTAATACAGCTACACAAACTAATTTACTTCAGTTGCTTTAGTTACTAAGTTACTAAGATGCCGAACTAGAAAAACTAGGTGTCAGAGGTCCATGTACTGTAAATGTGATCATTTAGAAGACTTATGAAAAGCTGACCTTGTTCTGTTGATATACTGTGTTTTTGTCCATTGTTCTGTTCCCTAAGAATAAAATGTAGATGAAGTATGTAATGTACAGTCCAGTTCAAGGGATTTTACATTTCCTCCTCATTCATTTCTTAAACACGTTTATCCCAAATTGATTAGTTAATTTAAAGTAATCCTGTGGTGTGACAAATGTTAAAAAGTAAATAAAGCATGTGGTTTATTAAGTTATCTGAGGACATAAAATCTTAATGCATAATAATTATGAAAATAATTATCAAATACTGTATAAAGCATTACTCCACATGACAAATGTATTTCATGCCAACTACTGATTTCATGCCATAATGAGTATTTTGTGTTGACTAAAACTAATAGTTTTCACAAAAAAATTTATATTTTCTATTTGTGCCTCTCTCTCTCTTTAGGTCTTTCTTTTGTGTTCATCCATGACTCTGCTGTTTGCTGATGGAACAGAAGGTCCTCAGTAAGTCCTCCATGGTGTCCAGACTGCCAACATTTGGTGCCCGTCCAGTCAGTGGTACTCCCTCATCCCTTCTCAATGGTACGACCCAGACTGCGCTCACGCAAGAGGGCAAGAATCCCCTAGCTAGGCCAAATGGAGTGTTTCTGAGCTTAGTTTTTAACAGCAGATAGTATTGCGCGCTTTAGAAACAACTTTACTTTTCTTGATTCCAGTTCATTACACACACACCACTTGAATCTAAAATAATAATTCATTAACTTTTTAAAGGTTGAAGCGAATTACAAGAGTGTTCACAGTGGGCTGGTTACATTATTCTCACGTCATAAAAGCTGAAGTGCAAGTACATTTAACCACTTACATTACTCAGCCAAACACACAGGTGCTCTTTTTCATGAGCATTTGAGTGTGCGGTTAAAAACTAGCCTAGAGCACCATCTGCTGTTAAAAACTAAGCTCAGAATCGATTCCCTAGAATCGTGATGCATTAAATCACAGAATAGATCCATGAATTGATTTATTGTCGCACCCCTACTATGCATACATATGTCCTATCAACATGAAATTGGTATGCAAGATCTTGGTCCAATGTGCCACAAGTGTCTATAAGGACTTTTGGGTATCTCAAAAAACTGGCCACCATTGACCAATGAAATTTGAGCACCTATTAGACAACATGCTCAGTGGGCATGTTCGACTCATGGCCCTAAAGGTCTGTGAGAAATGTGAAAGAAATCGGCCACTGGGGGGTGATATCGCATTTTTCAAGGGCTTAAACGATTGTATATTGTGCGGTTTTTCACACATACACATGATGTTCATATCATATGATAGACCTCTTCATTCCAAACAACTTTGCCTCTAGAACTACTGCTGTCAATCAAATTGTTCATTAATTATTCACGATTATCTAAGTGCGAACTTGTCCTAGGTTTTTTTGCTTAATTTCAACTAAACCACTGCAGTACAATTCTCTGCACTTTCTAGATCAAATTATCAAAAAAAAAAAATAAAAATTTACCTATACACTTTGGTTGGCTATAACAGGGTCATTTTTAAAGGGGCGAGGCCAATTATACCCAAAAACTTATAAATCCTAAACGAAAACTCAAAACTTCATGAAACGAGGTGAGCACATGCAACAAAAAAGCATACAAACATGTATGGAAATCCGACCATAGGTGGTGCTATAACAGTCATAATTACCTGGATTTGCCAAAAATGCTTTATTTAATCATTGATTTAGGTGTTTGCAGGCTTGCTAAATAATATGTAATGTCTTTTTACATATGTGCTTATATGCCTTAAAACGCTTGGACCCTGATAATCGCTGCTTGTAGCTATATTATAATTTAATATGGAGACTTCATAGTATATATTTATAGTATATATTTTTTGTTGTCTAATGATTTATTGCTTCTTATTGTGTCTCAAAACATTGTCATATATGAAACATGTTTTATATTCAGTCAGTGTTCCTGTTTTTTTGCATAGCTATTAGTAGTTCTACTGGAGCAAAAAGGGTATTTTGGTGCCACCACAGAGAAGTCAAACTATCAAAACATAACTGCATTGCAGTTTAATAGTTTTATTTCCTTTTTGTATATGTGAAAAGGCATCAGATTCCCCAGAGGAGCCTTTGACAGAGCTAGGGCTGGATGGGAACCTCCGCTACACTGGGGAGGGAATGGAGGACATGTCTCTCTCCTCTGCATCTTCTCTGGAGAGGAATGACACCAGTGAGGAGTTTCTAGATGACTTTGCTAATCTAGGGGATCAGTTGCAGAATGGCATCCCTCAAAACAAATATCCTGTGGCCACACCCACCCAAACACGCCTGCAGGGCCTCTTAAAAGAGACCATGAACTGGACTGGGATTGGTCTGGCGGGTATAGCTAAATATTTTTCATCTAATTCTTGCGCTTATCTGACAAAAAGTACAGCGTTGATAATATTGTCCTATTGTGGCAAGCATGCAGTGTTTATGCTGTGTTATACTACATCTCTTCTCAGGTGGCAAGGCAGATTTAATGGGTGGTCCGCTCCATGGGCCGCCGCTCATGTCCCCTGACGTGGATCGTCATGCGACCTCCTCTCTGGAGCTCTCCCCCTCTAACAGCTCTGGAGGAACATACATGTGGGATGAGGAGGGTATGGAGCCGCTGGGGCACCACACACACATACACCGTTGCAGCAGTTATGAGTCAGACCTCAACAGCATTGTGAGTATACTCATACCCTCCCAAAATGAGTTTGAACTACCCTTAGAAAAAGTACTCTGATGGAACTATGGTGTAGTGATGTCAAAACCTGAGATTTACATTTTTGCATTTAGCATACGTTTTTCTACAAGCTCTAATATACATTAAACATTTAAATACAGTGCACATAATTAAGAATAAATCATATAAAACATTTAGTAAATAAAGAGAATTAGTATTAAAAAAAAAAAAAAAATTATATTTTTGTAGTTGCTAATAACAATAACAGTATGTATGATTTTATTTTTGTTGCAGATAAGTTATTGTTTTTGTTTATAATAATAATAATAATAATAATAATAATAATAATAAAATATAAAATATTGTTTGATATGGTTGTTCTTACTCATTTATTATTAGTATAATAATTATTATTATTATTATTATTATTTACAATTAAATTACATTTATGCATTTAGCATACACTTTTCAACAAGCTCCAATGTGCAGTAAGTAATGTGCAGTTAAAAATATTTAAGAAAATTACCAATAAATTATATAAAGAAATGGTGAATATATAGTGAATAAAGATAACTAGTAATATTTTAATAATAATTGATTTTTGTTGTTGCTAATAACAATATTATTATGATTTTGTTTTTGATGTTGCAGATAATAACAGTTATTTTGTTTTTGCTTATAATAATAATAATAATAATAACAAAAATTATAGTTTGATATGGTTGTTCTTGCTAATTTATTATTATTATTTTAAATATTATTTTAATACCATGTTAACGGTAATGCCATGTTTTTGACTGCTAATAATAAAACTAATAATAGTAATAATTATTTGGACCTTCCGTTACCAGCCCACCTTTAACCACACCTAAACTATTCTCACATTATGAAACTGTAATACAACAGTGTGACTGAATGTGGCTTCTGCAAGACTTTCAGAAGGCTGTTCTGTTCCATACTCTGGGTGTTCGTAACCTTTCCTCTGCTGTGCGTTTTGATAAACCCTGTGCTACTTGTTGCTGGTTAGTATGTGCACTTGTGTGTGTGTGATGGGATCTCTCTGTCCCTATCCTGCTAATTATCTCTTTGCTAATTAGGGATTAGTCTTTGTGGCTCTTACTCGTGACTCTGCAGGAGTCTGACTTTCGTGTCCCGCCATTCTGAACAGAGGTCCTGTTCTATCTCTGCTGTTTCCAAAGCCCCTGATCGGGTGAGAATGCAGAACGGTGCCACTTAACCTGGCAGCTTTTGATCCCAGTGAAGCAGGCTGTGGCATTTTTCCTAATTTTCCTATTTTTTGTGTTCTGATTCCTGATGTCAGATTGTCTCAGTGGAATGCAGAAAAAGAGGCTGGATTTGAAACCGTAATCAGATTTGAAATACCAGTCTTCTCCTGTAGCAGATACACAAATGCACCCACACACACAGACATGCCGACTCGACTCTGGCTTCAGACATTATGTTATCGCGGCATATATACATTTGAGTGCAGCTGAGTCATTGTTATCATATTTGAGTGGGTTGTTCCTCTGATGTAGTTGTATGGAGTGGAGGAGGAGTTCCGTTTACCTAATGGACTGTGTTTCAGATTGAGCTGGGCTTTAAGGGACATCTTGTGGTCTACTGTAAGTACTGCAAAAATAATTTTGCACGGTTTTCTTGTTTGTGGTGCTTGTCACTAAACATAAAGTATTAAAGTTTGATGCATAACTTTTCCTGGATCTTAAGGAAGTGTCTTTGCTAAACCTCATGGAAATCCGGGGCTGTCACATGCACAGTAATTGAATGATTAATTCGATCTCCTGACAGCAGTGGATCTCCTTTAGCTCCTTGAGCTGTGTCTATCTTTAGTTTAAGACTCCTCTGCTCTAATGGATACTGAAACAGAGGCTGGGCTTTATTTAGAGCTCGTCTGATCTTACCCTCAGCAGGTGATGTAATGCCAATCTTTATTTGCAGGTTACAACTTGCAATGTATAAGAAGGAGGTTTGAGTTTAAAAGTTTGGCTTCGTTTAGGTCTAAATACAATTTAATGCTGTGTTTTGTGGAATTAAGTTATTTTGTATTTTCTATACCATATAAACGTCATACTTAAATTTATTTAAATGTATAAAATATTGTTTTTATATATATATATATATATATATATATATATATATATATATATATATATAATTCCTATTAAAATATAAATATAGTAAATACATATAAATAAACATGTCAAATTGAGTAACAGGGTTGCAGATTTTGCCTAAATTAAACTGTCACACATTATAGGCTAGTTAGTGTGGGACCAAATGTTAGTTGGTAATATTGATATTAACTTATGGTTAAATTGTTCTGTTAAGTAAGGAACAGTATGAGTTTTTTTTACTTAACTATGGTAACATGGTTGAAAGATGAATGCAGTGAACATTTTGCTAAAAAAAAAAAAAGAAACTTGAATGAATTTAATTGAATAATAATTACCTTCATTTAACCGTCATGTAGAAAGTGTCAAAATATAGTTTTTTGGCTTCACTATTTTAAAGGGGTCATATGATGTTGCTAAAAAGAACATTATTTGGTGTAATGAAATATTTATGCGGTTTAAGGTTCAAAAAACATTATTTTCCACATACTGTATATTATTGTTTCTCCTCTATGCCCTGCCTTTCTAAAACGCATCGATTTTTACAAAGCTCATGGGTCTGAAAAGCGAGGTGTGCTCTGATTGGCCAGCTATCCAGTGCGTTGTGATTGGCCGAATACCTCAAGCGTGTGACGGAAATGTTACACCCCTTTTGCTGTGTCCCGGAGTGACAAGACAAAACCAATAAAACCCATTATAAACGAGGCATTTGTTGCATCCAGTGGGGACATAATTACGGATTATAATGACTTATACTGTATTTTTACGCGTTGCATTGCATCGCACCGCGTAAACATAAAACCATGTCTGCATTTGTGATCAGAGAAATGACAAACAACAAGTGCTACTCTACACTGCTCAAAACTCGCGTTTGAATCGTCAGTGAAAGGAAAAATTTAAATCGCATCATATGACCCCTTTAAGGAATGTTACCTTCATTGTATTGTGGTAATCGTGCAGTAACAGGTTTGTGATACATTTTTTTTTATGCTTTGCTTTTTTTTGTCAGAAAATATTTTTTTCTTTGTAAAATGCATTGCTATTAAAATTCTTTCTGCACTTAGGGCCACAAGGGGGCAGTATGGATTCAAGAGACACAAGATATTTTCTTTCCTTACATTGTATACTTGTGTGTTTTGTGTGTTTTATCCCTATGTTGACTTCTACAAGGCACATCCCGTTTTAGGCTCTTTTAAGAGTTGTTTGTTTGTTCTAAATGCAGTCTGTCTTGCAGGAGGCAATTAAAGGCCAATTCATTAGCTGCTAAATGATCAAGGTGCAGAAGCCTTTGTTTTTAACACCGTAAGTGATTCTGAGACATGCTTTTATCTGCTGCCGTTTCAGCATTAATTAGCTGAGATTTATAGAGCATTGTTTAAGCCTGTACCATTTGCTAAACTTACTAATACTGTAAACAGGATTTGTATAATTTTAATAAATATTTAACATCTCTAATCAGCTCTTAATTTATTAGGCTAACTGGTTTATTGACTCTTTCTTATTTTGCTTAATCTCCTTGAGACCTGCAATTCCTAATGGCTTTTGAAAGCCTTTTCTTGCACACAGCCATGCACCGCACTGTCTCAGAGCCTGTGTTTTGTGTATGAGTGCTTGGCAGAGCTCTGTGTGGCACTACCAGTATGTGAATCGAAATGCACATATTCAGGGTGACATGAACACAAACTGAAAGATGAAAAGCTGTTTAGTCTCAGGCAGTGATGAAGCATGGGCTTTTTTTCAAATTTTTTCCATTCCGAGGTGATGGTGGTGTTCTGAATGCATGATACTAAAAATTTGAAGCCAGTGTTTGCTGGGGAAAGAGATCTAAACTGTATTTAATATTCAATTATGAAACATGCATAACAGTTTATTTACAATAAAAAGTACACATTAAAAACATCACTAATTCATTCAACATTCTAATATGAATAATCTTGTAAAAATACACGAATCAAAATTTCATGACATTTGTAACTATTTGAACTGATTATATCTTATAATGCAGTAAATATTAATTTTTACAAAGTGTTTTGATCCATAAACATGTTTGTTTCTTCATTCTTAAAAACACACACACACTGCCTACAAAATAAATATACTTAATGAAAATAAATGAATACAAATCTTTCTTAATGAATTAGTATTAATTTCTTAATTTTAATAGACCTCACTGACATGAACCTTTGTATTTTGTATGTACAGTATGTATGTGTATATATATTTGTTTAGAATTACATACACATTAACCTCTTTTTAAATTACCATTGAAAGTTTGGCTCGGTTCAAAGTATATCTGTAGGTGTATTAGTAGGTGTACTGTATGTAATATGAATGATTCAGGAATTCAAACACATTCCTTTTGATCCCGCCAAATATGATGTTTCACTCCCGAGCTCAGATTGTGTGAAATGTGATCAGGATTCTGTGCTTGTCCGATAGGACCTTTCTTAAATGTTATCTGAGGTTCTGTCTGTATCGGTCCGACTCTAAAGAGACCTTTAATCCGATCTTCCCGGCTGATTCGCGCAGGGCTATGTGAAATGGGCTGCGTTATTCCGGCTCTTTCAGCGCAGAAGGAGAGTGTTGATGGGGCTTGGGCTGCGTGTCTAAGCTGCCACCCGGCGCAGTGAAATGTCATTTCCTCTGAAGCAACCTGCCATGACTAAGCCCCTTTATACATGGAGGGAGTCAGAGAGAGAGAGGGACCCGAGAGACTACGTGTGTGTGTGTAGCTGAAGTGTATGAACTCTGGCTGCTTTGAATACACATTTTGTGTACACTTGTAAGATGGTACGTTGTGTGTGTGTGTATGTATTGTCCAGGAAAGGGGCCTGTCTTTAAGTAGTACATATTTATATGATAGATGGGGTTGAAGCACATCTTGTCAGCTTCGATGACTTGGAAGAGACATTTTTGTTCTGTGAATGTATCACAGTTGCATGATTGATAATGTTTTCTAAAGTATGCTGAGAGCATATTTGTACTGTGGTTCTTTCCCCAGCTGCCTGCTGTATATGAAATATGGGAAATTATGCAGGAAGTTTCATAATGTACTGTTATTTTTGCAAGAAATTCCCCCATTTAGAAAAGCCAATGTATTTAACATAGCTTGAAGCGATAGTTCAGCAAGAAATGAAAATTCTGTCATCATTTACTCCACACATCATTTCTTTTTTCTGTGGAACACAAAAGAAGATTTTTCTTAAGGAATATCCTTGCTATTATTTTCAAAATAATGAAAATGAATGATGACCAGGACTCTGAAGCAGCAGAATGACAAAAAGTGTGGTCTATAAGATTCATGCACTACATTTAAATGTCTTCCAGCCATTTTGTGGGATAAAAAGGCAGAAGTAGTCATTATAAAGTCATTAAACTTTGAAAGTCATGACTCTGCCTTAGCTGCCTTTAAACAGTTTAATGACATAAGTAGCGATGTCTGATTTTTGAATGAATCATTCCATAGTGTAAAATCTTAATGAATCTGCTGATAGGATTAAAAAGAATGTTCCTGAAACTAGTCTGAATGATTCCTTTACAAATCAGACTATTGTCAGTAAATAATGACTTAAATTTCAATCTGTTTGTCGCATAAAGCTATTGTTTGACATCAGGGCCCAGTTGCATAAACTTAGCCTCTATGTTAAGACAGTGTCTTAAGAACTAGTCTGACCAACTAGCAGTTAGCCAAGGTGTAATCGGTCATATTTTTTGGATTCAACTTAGACTAATCTACATTTTATGTATTTAAGTTAAAAAAATTATGACCGGTCTTAAAGAAAAAAATTAGCTGACTAACATTTAAGACTTGTCTTAACCTTTTAACTTGTTTGCGTTCCACTGAAGAAAGTCGTAAGGGAACAACATGGCAACAGAATTTTCATTTATGAGTAAACTATTTCTTTAATAATAATTTCAATGTAATATGAAATAATAAGCTTTTGAAAGAAGTCTCTTATGCTGACTAAGGCTGCATTTGTTTGATTAAAAATACAGTAAAATCAGTAATGCTAAATCATCAGCAGGCATTATTCCAATCTTTAGTGTCACATTATTCTTCAGAATTTCTCATCACTATTTAAAAAGCTGTATTTAAAAACAACATAACGGGTTAAATCACTCGGCTGGCAACACAAAGGGCACAGGTTTGAACCACAGTAGGGCTTAGCTGAAGGGGTACCAAGAATTATTACCAGCAAGTCACTTAACCCCACATTGATTTATAGTAAATGTCCCTGCAATTAGTGCAATGTTAAGCATTTGTTAAATGTCAGGTGACTAATTAAAAAACAATTGTTTTCAAGACCTGCTTCCAGAAGTCCAATTTATGTAAATTTATATTTAAATGTAAAGCAATTTTGTTCTCCATGCAAACAAATGGTTAAATGACTGTAGATAAATGATAGTAATATGCAGTAGTTTTTGTATGTTTTGGAAATGATGAATCATGAGATAAATGAGCTAAATATCCTTTTAATTGGTTCCAGGTCTTTAAGACTCCTGCATTCAAATTTTACTCCCAACCTCAAAATCAATTCAGAGCGGTTCTTGAGAAAGACTTGAGTAATTTCTTTGCTTGGTGCAAATCAAGGCTACGCCGTGAGGCCTTGTTTTATGGTATTTCTTACCAATATTTTAGCACATAGAAATGTGGAGAACATCTTTTTTCAAAGAGCTTATTTTCTTTTGAACTCTCCGTGCCAGGCTTGATGTTCAGAATCGCTTTAAAATGCATTAAAAAGCGCTCCAATAGCTGATAACTGCCCTTGTGCGTCTGCCACACAGCTTGAAATGTCCTCTTTCATTTTCTGTCTGAGGACAAATTGAGGTTTTGTTGAGGCGTATTGATTTTCACCTTGGCGTGCTTTTGCATTTTCAAATAATCAGATGGCCTGAAAATTTGGCGTTTTTATATGCTCTTCATGTGAAGCGAAAAACGTTTTGTTTGTTTTCATGTAGCATCTAGTGGGTCTATCTATGTATTCCCTTTCTTTTATGTGATCGTCCTTACGTAAACAGTGCGAGTGAATTTCCACAAAGGCCTTTTTTGGTAAACGTAATGCAGTTTTCCATCTCTATTTCACACACGGTCTCGCTCTCATTGGTTGTTTCTCATGCACAGGACATTCTGAACAACTTGGATAACACTGGCTCATGTGATCTGGAAGATGATGACCTAATGCTTGATGTGGATCTGCCAGAGGACGGGGCCTTACTCCATGGTTAGTACACACACACACACACACACACACACACACACACACACACACACATACAGTGTAATTAAGTAGTATAACCAGCAATCATTCACTAAGCCAAAACTGCCTTCTTATTTGACATCTAAAGTGCTTACAAATATGGAAAGTTTAAAGGGGTCATATGATGCGATTTCAAGTTTTCCTTTCTCTTTGGAGTGTTACAAGCTGTTCGTGAATAGATAAGATCCCTAAAGTTACAACGACTAAAGTCTCAAACCCAAAGAGATATTCTTTATAAAAGTTAAGACTGGTCCACGCCCTCTTAAAACGCCTCGTTTAAACACGCTCCCACATGTCTACGTCACTGTGTGGGAAGATTTGCATAACACCGCCCAAATGTTCTTGCAAAGAAAGAAGGCGTAACTTTATTGTTGCTGCCACTGCTGCCGCCATGTTGTGAAGACGATGTGGGGTTCGTTGTGAAAGCGAAACTACTTTGTTTGGCCTTCCAAAAGAGGACACGACTAGAAATCAGTGGTTAAGTTGTATTTACAACACTGTTCCAGAACAGTTCAACCCAAATATTCAGATGTGTGCAGCACATTTTTATGGAGGACTGTTTCCTGATCCTGGTAGAGTAGACTACAATGCCGGCTGTTCTGACTCACAGACTGTAAGTACGTTGCACTGTAAGTGTGAGTTTTGAGCAGTGTAGAGTAGCGCTTGTTGTTTGTCATTTCTCCGATCACAAATGCAGACATGGTTTTATGTTTATGCGGCGCGATGCAACGCAACCGCGTAAAAAGACAGTATAAAAAGACCCCTTTAATAGAATCATCTCTGCATCACCGTTCTCTCAAAACTTGTTGTTCTGGTTAATAAATTACTAAATAAATGAATGTATCTCTTGTTTTGAACACCAATACAGGAATTTACCATCAACTATTTACCTTTATAACCACAATAGTCCACTTTAATTGAATTTGAAATATAATCATCATTGTGTTTATCTTTGATTTATTAATTCATCTTCCATTTGGAAAAATAATGCATATAAAATGCATATATAATAATTATCAAGAATTAGAAAAATGTCAAAAATAGTTTTAGACTGTTTTGTAAGTTATGCTGAAGAACACTGCTTGACTTTGTCAAATACAGTCAAACAAGATTAAATTAGTTATTAATGTAACCTTATGCACTATCGTTCAGTTTTTTTCTTTTAAAAAAATGAATACTTTTATTCTGCAAATAAACATTAAATTGATCAAAAGTGACACTAAAGACAATAGTAATATTACAAAAGATTTTGTTTTGCATAAATCTTGTTCTTTTCATGTTCTCTCTATTAATCAAAGAGTCACACAAAAATGTAATGGTTTCCACACACACACAGCTATTTTTAACATTTGTAATAAGAATTTTTTTTCGGAACCAGCATATTTGAATTATTTCTGAAGGATCGTGAGTGTTGCTGAAAATTCAGCTTTTCCATCGGAGGAGTACCTTACGTTTTGATATTTCAATTAAATTAAAATAGAAACCTGTTAAAAATTTAATATTTTACAATATTGCTGTTTTTACTGTATTTTTAATCAAATAAATGCAGCCTTGGTGAACATAAGAGAACTTCTTTCAAAAACATATACAATCTTACTAAGCCCAAACATTAGAACGGAAGTGTATGTTATATTGTACTTACTGTCCTATAATGGCACATGCTGTTGAACAAATGCAAGTGTATAACAGTAAAAACAAGCAATAGTGCCTGTGCTACTAGCCTATCATGAATGAGTTTGCTATTGAAGACAGCCCCTGCCAGGAATACTGAATGTCAACTGAATCATCCATGTGACTCTTAGTTCTGGAAGGGAATGTCCTAGTGTGGCGTCCTGTTTTCTTCACTCAGAGTGTGATTTTTAGAGTGTGCGAGTGAGGTCACAGGGTGGTTACGGGTTCTGCAGATTCCAGAGTCTTGTGTACGTAGACAAATTCCACATTAGAGATGGCAAACAAAAGACTTCGTACATACACTTTACAAATTACATTTAAATTAATGAGTACAAGAATGATTCCTTTTTGGGACTGTTCAGCTGTTTCTCATGTTCAAAAAATGTTTCATTTGAGCGTCTGTGTTTGCTTGAATTTCGCGTCATGTTTACGTTCAGTGTTTTGGTCTGTGTCATCAGCAGGAATCAGTCAGTTTTACACTGCTGCGTATGTGTGTGCTGTATTTATAGCCCCGGGCGTCATGCCCTGCAGTCATGTGAGAGGGGTTACAGAGCCAGAAAGAGCTAGAGGAGGGAATAGATGACTTAAGAACCCCCTCCTCGTCGGTCTGTCTCCTTCCCTCCTTCATTCCTTCCTTGGTCGATCCGTCCACTTGGCAGGCAGGAAGGCCTGCTGTTTTGACGCTAGTTCCCGTGACCAGAGGGGAGACCCTTCCTGAGGGCTGTGGCGACTTCGGCTGAGAGCACCACCATCAGCTCCCCTTCTCTCCTGATGGCCCCACGGCTCAGGGATTACAGCTGTGTGTCTCTGTATGCGTCTGGTTCTGGTCAAATCTCCCAGGGAGTTCCCAGAACTCACAAACTCATACACACACACACCCACGTTCCAACAGTGCGGAAAAGTTATTGGATTTGCAGATGCTCGGGTGGCCAGTGAGAAAGTCGTAGGAAGTTTGACACAACTTTTAAAAGTTTTCTACATACTTTTTTTGGAGTTCTACACCACAAAACTTTGGAATTTTTAACTTTGGGGAATTTTTGTCCAGCTGTATTTCAACCTTTTCTTTTGGATGTGTCAGTCAAAACAGACCATCTCTGCTTTTTGTTGTAAGGTCATTTGTATTCGTGTGGGTGAGTTTTGGACTGTTTTTCGAGTCTGTTTTTGAGGCTCTGGCAGTGAACCGGACAGCAAGGACAAGAGGAATGTAGCAGGTCTGTTTTGGGGCTTAGTTTTCTGTCTGTTCTACTTGCTGTCTTTCTTTGTGCTAGAAGGGTATAGAAAGTTTGAGAGAGCGCTTGTGTGTGTGTGTGAGAGAGAGAGATTTTGTATGCCTCAGAGTGTGTTAGTGTAAGTTTGCCCTGATATCTCGCCTCAGGCGGTGTGAGTGCTTTGTATCGAAACTCTTAAGAGCTCTGCGTTTGGAAGGACACTGCACAACCTCCCAGAGAAAGATGACCTTCTTTTTCCAAAAAGTGTGTGTCTGTTTCGGAGCGTTTCTTGGAGACTACCTGAATTGTGTGGTTTAAAGTGAATTGGGTTTTGAGCGCTTGTTCAATGCGTTTGTTTATTTGTCATTGACTGCTGTTGACCCCTCTGTGCATGCAGATGGGATGGCCCACTTTGAGCGCTCTGACAGGGGGGGCCGGCCGGCTCAGTGGAGGAGAAGACAGCAGAGATGGAGTGGAACAGATCATGCTCATAATGACAACAGGTGAATGCCTTGGAATACGTATTTCCTAATTAAACATGATACTAAAAATGTAGAACAGGATTTGATTGGATTCTGAAAAGTGAGTGTTACATACCGGAATCAAGAGCAAGTGTTTCACATAAGTGGCTGTTAAGTTTTATATTTTTATAATTAAAAAGTTTATACTTTTATATTTACTATAAATTTTATTTTAGTCTGAGTTGCACATTATATTTAGCATCCAGGACTAGAACTGTACATTTTATAATACAGGGTTTATATTAAATCACTTTTAATATTTCTTTCACTCTGAGGCACATACATAATATAGTTTTTTCCCCCACCAAATAGTTAATGTAATTTAGTTGTAATGGTTTGGGGTCAGTAATATTTTTAAAATACTTTTGAAAGAAGTCTCTTATGCTCACTTAAAGGGTTAGTTCACCCAAAAATAAAAATTGGGCTGCGTTTTACTCACCCCCGATGCATCCTAGGTGTATATGACTTTCTTCTTTCAGACGAATCCAGTCGGAGTTATATAAAAAAAATTGTCTTTGATCTTTCAAGCTCTATCGTTGTACTCAGCGGGTGTTGCATTCCCTCTGTCCAAAAGACGTGAAATAAAAAGCACCCTTCCACAAAAAAAAAAAAAGTGTCTCACACGGCTCCGGGGGGTGAACAAAGGCCTCCTGTAGCGAATCGATGCGTTTTTGTAAGAAAAATATCCATATTCAAAACGTAATAATCACTTGAATCTAGCTTGCGCTCACTGTTGTAAAACGGAAGCAGTTCCGAGGGAATTACGTATGAGGTCAGCTTTGCGCATGAATAGGAATATTTGCTTCTTTTGATCATGTAAACAAACGCTGGTTTTCACGAGACTCACCGGCGCATGCGCAACGCTGAACTCATACGTCATGCTCCCGGAACTGCTTCTGTGTACAACTGTTGGCGCAAGCTAGATTCAAGTGATTATTACGTTTTGAATATGGATATTTTTCTTACAAAAATTCATCGATTCACTACAGGAGGCCTTTGTTCACCCCCCGGAGCCGTGTGAGACACTTTTTTTTTTTTTGTGGAAGTGTGCTTTTTATTTCACGTCTTTTGGACAGAAGGAATGCAACACCCGCTGAGTACAATGATAGAGCTTGAAAGATCAAAGACATTTTTTTTATATAACTCCGACTGGATTCGTCTAAAAGAAGAAAGTCATATACACCTAGGATGCATTGGGGGTGAGTAAAACAACAATTTTTCTTTTTGGGTGAATTAACCCTTTAAGGCTGCATTTATTTGAAAGTAAAAAAGTGCTATTATGAAATATTATAAATATTTAAAGAGGTGGTTGATTATGATTTCACTTTTTAAGCTTTAGTTAGTGTGTGATGTTGCTGCTAGAGCATCCTTGCTGAATCAGAGTATTAATTTAATTAAAAAAATATGTGAATACCCCAAACTTTTGAATGTTAGTGTGGATTGGGACATATAGCCACACAAACTGTTAGTCAAAGTGATGAAACAGAAGTCAGAATGATATTATGAGAGACATTGTTAACACCTTAATTAAGGATACTTTAATTGCCAGATATATACAGGAATAATATCTTCTGGTGATTTAGAAATAATAAAGCCAAGTTCCTGAACTTTGAATAGCCAGTGTTGATGTGTACGGTCAAGTAGTCAGTGTATTCTGGTCGACATCATGAAGTTTGGTAGAAGCTGTTTTTGCAGTCTTTTTGAACTGGAGTGAAAGTTTAGACTTTTGAAAGTTATCAAGAAAGTCATGATACAACCCCTTTAATTTATTTTTCTTGTATTTTTTCTATAAACTATATCTGAACTCTGTCTCAATCTGTCTTTTAGACTGGGCGGGTTTCATTACGATCCCTGTCGTACAGGCCATCGGCCCCTCCATCCCGCAATTCAGCATGAACTCACTCTCAAGCACATGGCGGAAGACTGCTCGTCTGTCAAATCACAGCTGCTCAAACTCAAGAGTCTGCTGCAGGTACCAAACACACACACAGCTGGAAGAGTCATGTTTGCACTTTCATATGTAAACCCAGCTGTTACCCTCTGAGCAGCTTTTAGCATGTGTGTAGGGGCAAAATAAAAAGAGAGAAAGAATAAAAGAACCTGAGAAGCTGTAAACATGAGTGTTTCAACAATAAATTGTCATTTTATGTAGATGGATGATGGTGAGATTACTCCAGAGAGTTTGGATTCCAGCGAAGATGACAGCAGAGCCCAGCAGGTCTGTAACGTCTCATAAACACCCACCTGAATAGAGCTGTTCAGCTTGTTGTCCTAAAACATTAGCACACCAAGAACATTAGCATTTTCAAGCCGTGGGCTCCCTTAGGAATTTCTAATGTGTTTTTATAAAAGTGGTTTTCAAATGCTAAATGCTTACTTGAAGAGACTTTCCCAGTTTTTTCTACATCATAAATTACACGCATTCATATCTTAAAACATGAACTTTGAAGCTGTTAAAATGCACAAGTTGCTACATAAAGGCTAAAACTATAAATGCATGAGAATCCTAATGTAGCAGCTTGTGTTTTGAACGCACACAACAGTTCCAGAATTCACGTCTGAGCTGTGTAATTTATGAAGTAGAACGAAACATTAATATATCTCAAGTAATGTTTACCACAGACCTTATTATACTCATAAATTGCAAACTGATATTCTAAAAAGCCATTAGGAATTCCAGAGGGAACCCATGGTGGATTAGTCTTCCATTTTGGCCTAAAAATTGTTTGTGTATGACAATTTATATATTTTTGTGTTTGATTTTATTATTTGTTGTATTTGTGTGTCAGATGGAGGAACTGATGAAGGAGGTGGCACATCTCAGGGAAGAGCTGAAAAATAAAGAAAAAATCATCACACGGCTCACTCATCAACCGCATCAACAATCTGTGAGCCATCGCCATTCCTGACACATTCACACTTGCACTCATTTTGACCATTTTGTATTGATTGAAGATGCATAATACATGAGTGGCTAATCAGAGCCTGCAGTGTCTGCTGGAAGATTCTAAAGTCATGCTAACTCCATGTCTGCATGAGTAAGATGAAATCATGACGAGATGTTCTCAGAACAAACTCACATCTCATATTGTTCATTAACTTCACCGTTCCAAGCCATAAAAACAGCGAATCAACACGTGCACTTTAACCTTTAATCCCAATTACTGTCACCTTCAGTGAGCAATTATATCATTAGCGCTAGTAAACTTGCTCACCTCTTTTGCATTATGCTGATTGCAAAGCAATGATGAAGGCAAATGAGATTTCTTTACATTAGAACAAGAGTATGCTATTAGTGTTGCTCAAGGCAGGCATACGTATTATTTATACATTGGTTAGGGAATTTAAACTCTCCCTCACTTCACTACTTTCATGAATGATATCTCAAATTGTATGGCTTGTTAAGGAGAGGTGCTGTTACTAGCTGTTACTACCTGATTTCAGAGTTTAATTTTAATTTTTCAATTAAATGGTTTTAAAAATGTTTATCGGTTCTAAGAAAATTTAGATTGCAAAACTACATTGTGTAATTATAAAAATATACAAAAATATAAAAATAAGTCATTACAAATAGTGTATTAAACAATTTCTTGTTTTATTAATAATATTATTATACAATGATTTTTAAAGGTTATTGCAAGACTACTTTGCATATAAATAATTTATTATGAATGTATTCAGCTAAATGTATTCTAAGAAAATGTAGATTGCAAAACTACTGTGCATAAATATAAAAAATATAAAAATAATAATTATGAATAATATTTTAAACAATTTATTATTATTAATAATAATTCATAAGGCATTGTTTTTACAATAGTTTAATGATCTTATGTCGCGTGTCAAAAATAAAACAAGGAAAATTGTTATTGGTTCTAAGAAAATTTCGGATGCAAACTACTTTGCAAAACTACTTTAGATAAGACAAAAATAGGAATCTATGATGAATAATTTATTAAACTTATAATAATAATAATTATTAATTGTATTAATATTCATAATTCATAATGCATTGTATTTATTGTAGTTTTTTGTTATGTCATGTCTGTCAAAAATAAAACAATTAAACTTTATATAATAAAACAATCAGTTCCTAATATTTTCATATCTGAACACTTTAAAAATAATGCATTGTGTTTATTGTAGTTTTTTGTAGTTATGTCATGTCTGTCAAAAATTCAACTAATTAGACTCAGTTCTTAATATTGTCATATCTGAACACTTTAAAAATGAGCTAACTTAAAAATGCTCTATAGTTATTCTGTATAGTCATAAAAACCAATAATGGTCAGATTCTCTCTACTAGCAATGCCCTGCAAACCAGCATTTTTGGGTGCAAGTTTTGAATGATTGAGATATTCAAACCACTCATTTTCTATAGAACGTGTACAAATCGAATTATTATTTCTTTGATTATTTTTCTTTCAGCCGGTGAGATGTCAGTGTCATCAGCAGAAGTCAGGGGTCAAAGGTGAGAGAAGAACTCATCATGATAAATCCACTCAGACGGTGCGGCGACCGCCCCATCATCACCCCGCTGTGAGTAATTTCTCGCTATCTGGCTAGCAACGTGCATGTCAACACGATCGCATCATCAAGGCACCCAAAACTCTCCCAAAATGTCAGTGTAGTGAGACCGAGTGTATCTGTGTGTGTCCTTGGTTGAGCCATCTGCCTCGTTTTCATTTCCTGTTTCCCCCCTAAACCTCTCTAGGCTTTGTAGGTGGCTAGTTGTTTACAAAGGGGGGAAGCAAATGTGTTGTCAGGGTTGACAAATCAGACAACACATTCCTTCACGTTCTTTTCCTCTCCTCCATCCTTTCCTCCCTCGCGTTCGTTTTTCGTGGTGAAATAGCCCGACGCTCTCTCGGGACGCCCTGAGCTGAGGCTAGTTTGCCGAGGTGCCGATTTGGCCAATTTGCAGCTGCTAGGGGAAAACGGGCATCTACTACAGAGTGCAGAATGATTGTCATATCCTATTTAAGTGAAGCCGTGCTGCACCTACTCCTGTGGTTTAGCTTTCAGAACCCAAGCCTGAGATGTTCACCATGGGACGCGTTCTTATTGACGACCGGCACACAATCAGTAAAGCTAACGGTACACGGCGAAAGACTGGAGTCAGGAGAGATTGTAGGGAGGAGAGAGATGAGGGAAGCGATGGATGAGAATTTGGAAGTGGAAATGAGGAAGCGAAATAAACTGTTATAGCGGATTGGGGATAACAGGACTTGTTCATTTTGCACACATGTTAGTGTTCAAAGTTTCATTTTCTTTGCCTGTATGACTTTCCCCACCTACAGTATGTGACTTTTAACCAACTTTTTTTCTGTGGGACATAAATGAAGATGTTTAGAAGAATGTCCTGCTGCTCTTTTCCATATATTGAAAGTGAATAAGTGACCATGGCTGTCAAGCAAGATTATCCGTCAGAATTGAAATTTGAATTTCTCGCACTATGCTGTTATATGGTTTTTAAAAACCTGTAATGTAGTGTAAGATTAGTATAGGATTAAACTTATTAAGCTTTATGGTGATTTTTTTTTTAAAATTGTTCTTTTGGGTGCTTAATGGTTCTAGGTCCCCATTCACGTTCATTACATGGAACATTGCAGCTCTGACATTCTGATAAACCATGTGTTTCATTGGGGAAGAAACCAAGCAGGTGTGGGCAATTTTTATTTTTTGGTAAGATATCTATTAAAATCAGTTCTTAGAAGTTGCAAAAAAAATATTAGCTTAAAGGGATAGTTCACCCAAAAATAGAAAATTATTTCATTTACTCAACCTCATGTTGGTCCACAACCATGTGACTCATTAATCTAAGAAGCATAAATGAAGAAATTTTTATTGAAATGTTAGAGGTGAGGAAATAATTTGAGAATTTTAGTTTTTTGGTGAACTGCCACAGGTTTTTTGATGGGATAAGCTTGGCATGAGTTCATTATAAAGCAAGTTATCAATGATCAGTTATTAATTGTCACAAAACTGCAAACAATCTAAGGAAATGTATAGCATGTTAACATACTGTAATGTTTAATCTGTGGTTGCTGGCTTTATCATAACTCAAACACTTACAGTGGTGTGAAAAAGTGTTGGCCCCCTTCCTGATTTCTTATTTTTTTGCATGTTTGTCACACTTAAAAGATTCAGATCATCAAACTAATTTTAATATTACACAAAGATAATGCAAGTAAATACAAAATGCAGTTTTTAAATGATTATTTATTTTATTAAGGGAAAAAAGCTGTCCAAACCTGCCTGGCCCTACGTGAAAAAGTAATTGCCCCCTAAATCTAATAACTGGTTGTGCCATGCTTTCAGCCACATTGGAGGGTTTTCGAGCATGAATGGACTGTTTAAGCATCTCAATCGGACTTTGGTTTGGCCACTCCAAAACCTTGAGCCATTCAGAGGTGACCTTGCTGGTGTGTTTTGGATCATTGTCCTGCTGCATAACCCAAGTGCGCTTGAGCTTGAGGTCACAAACTGATGGCCGGACATTCTCCTTCAGGATTTTCTGATAGAGTGCAGAATTCATGGTTCTGTCAATTATGGCAAGTCGTCCAGGTCCTGAAGCTGCAAAGCAGCCCCAGATCATCACACTACCACCACCATGTTTGACTGTTGGTATGATGTTCTTTTTATGAAATGCTGTGTTGGTTTTACAAATATACAGTTGCACTGGTGAATATGGTAAATATCACTGGTGAATATCTTGAATATCCATTTACTTGCTGTTTAGCCCATCAAACAAAACCAAATATTGTTCAATTTCAGTTTGACTGAAACTGTATTTTTTCTGTTTTGAAATTTCATATAAAAGTTTTAGTCTGACTCAAATCAGAGTTTTGGGGTCTGTAAGATTTGTTAATGTTTTTTAAAGGGGTCATATGATGCGATTTTTTTAATTTTTCCTTTCTCTTTGGAGTGTTACAAGCTCTTGGTGCATAAAGAAGATCTGTTAAGTTGCAGAGACTAAAGTCTCAAATCCAAAGAGATATTCTTTATAAAAGTTAAGAGTCAGCCACGCCTACCTAAAACGGCTCGTTCTAACACGCCCCCACATATCTACGTCACTATGTGGGAAGATTTGCATAACGCCGCCCAAATGTTCACGCAAAGAAAGAAGGCATAACTTTTATTCTCACTGTAGTATTGTTGTTGCCGCCGCCATGTCGTGAAGGCACTGTTTCGTTGTGAAACCGAAACTACTTTGTTTGGCCTTCGAAAAGAGGACGATATCCGCTTCATGCCTAGAGCTGATCCGTGCTAGTCGCTGAGGAAATACAACAACTTTGCGCTGTGGATCGCCGGATCGGCTTTCACCAGGTTGCTTAGCAACGGCAGACGCCTCTGGAGCGCAAGCGCCCGAACGCTTTGGGGGGAAAAGCAGAAAGCGGCGCGCCTAGCATTTTCCACGCGTTTTTAGGCGCGATATGTGAATGGCCCCTTAGTCATTATAATCCATAATTATGTCCCCACTGGATGCAACGAATGCCTCGTTTATAATGGGTTTTCATGTTTTTGAATCATCGCTCCGGCCTGACAGGGCGGCATCACAGCATGGTAGGGGCGTAACATTTCCGTCACACGCTTGAGGTATTCAGCCAATCATAACGCACTGGATAGCTGGCCAATCAGAGCACACCTAGCTTTTCAGACCGATGAGCTTTGTAAAAATCGACGTGTTTCAGAAAGGCGGGGCATAGAGGAGAAACAATAATGTACAGTATGTAGAAAATAATGTATTTTTTAACCTTAAACTGCATAAACACATTTCATTACACCAAATACACAAAATAATGTTCTTTTTAGCAGCATCATATGACCCCTTTAAAGGAGTCTCTTATGCTTAGAAAGGCTGCATTTATTTTTATCAAAAAATACAGTAAAAACAGTAATATTGTGAAATGTTATTACTATTTATAAGAACGATTTTATATTTGAATATTTTAAAGTGTAATTTATTCCTGTGATGGCAAAACTGATTTTTCAGCAGCCTTTACTCCAGTGTAGGGATGTTAATTTTAACCGGTTAATCGACCATAAGAATTTTGACCGATTAATACAATTAGTTAAATGGTTTAAAAGTAATTTAATTATTTAACCTATTTTTTCAGATAATCGGAATTGTAAAAGGTTTGCCTTTATTTGTGTACATTCACAATAAAAACAAATCTTTGTGCTTTTGTAAAATAAGCCTAAAGAAAAATAGGATGCCGCTTTCTGGCGTCTGTTTCCTTTCGCGCAGCACAAAAATGAACCGAAACTCTGCATACTACTTGTTGCACAGTTTTTCTTTCATTTTCTTAATTTAAGTAAAAATGTGTCCCTTAAAGGCCTATTTATTCGATATATAAATATTTATATATACAGCCTAGCTTTATTATGTTTTTCTCCGCTCGCAGAAGCGCTGCAGGTGTGTGATCTGATATGACCATGTGAATCCTCATGTTTTGTTGTTTGCTGCTTTTTGCGCATGTAAAATGAATCCCCGGGAAACAAATGTTAGTATTTTTAATGGGTCACAGACACTTATAATTTTTTTATTTAATTAAATTCCAATTTAAAATAATCTTGTCGGTTAACGAGCATCGGTTAGGAAAAATAACCGAAATGAACATCCCTACTCCAGTGTCACATGATCCTTCAGAAATCATTCTAATATGCTGGCTTGCTGATCAAGTAAAACATTTCTTCTTATTATCAATGTAGAGAACAGCTGTGCTTTTTATTATTTTTGTGGAAACTGATCTTTTTTTTTCAGGGTTCTTTGATAAGTAAAAAAGCAGCATTTATTTAAAATAGAAAAATTTTGTAACGTTATTGATGCCTTTACTGTCACTTTTGATAAATTGAATGCATCCTTACTGAAATAAGTGTTAATTGATTTCCAAAAACCAATAAATAAATAAATAAATAAATAAATACATTACATATATAACATAATATAACATAACAGAACATAACAACATAACATAACATAACATAACATAACATAACATAACATAACATAACATAACATAGCATAACATAGCATAACATAACATAACAAAAATAAAATAAATAAATAAAAATAAACAAAATTATTTTTGTGGAAACTGATCTTTTTTTTTCAGGGTTCTTTGATAAGTAAAAAAGCAGCATTTATTTAAAATAGAAAAATTTTGTAACGTTATTGATGCCTTTACTGTCACTTTTGATAAATTGAATGCATCCTTACTGAAATAAGTGTTAATTGATTTCCAAAAACCAATAAATAAATAAATAAATAAATACATTACATATATAACATAATATAACATAACATAACATAACAGAACAGAACATAACATAACACTAACATAACATAACATAACATAACATAACATAACATAACATAACATAGCATAACATAGCATAACATAACATAACAAAAATAAAATAAATAAATAAAAATAAACAAAACTTACTAACCCCAAACTTTTGAATGGTAGTGTATACATAAATTGGACTACTGTTGGCATTGGACTTGTGCACTTGCTTCATAAGATCCTTCA